CCCGGGCGGGCGGCCCGCAGAGCCGGGCTCTCGTGGCCCGCGGTTACTCCCCCGGGGGCAGGCCGCGCCCCCCTCTCGCCCTGGGCCCCGGCCGCAGCCCCCGCCCTGCTGGCCCCTCTCCAGGCCCACCTGGCCCCGCGCCTCCCCCCCCAACAGCCGCCCAGCACCCCCCCCCACGCCCGGCCCACCTGGCCCTGGGGACCCATGCTCTGCCACCGGCCCCTCACCCCCCTCTGCCCCACCTGGCCCATCCCCTCTCCCCCCACTGCCACCTGCCCCCCCCCCCCCCCGCTCTCCACCTGGCCTCCCCCCCTGCCCTCCCCAGTCTCGCGGAGAAGCCCTGGGTCCCCGGCGCCCTTGAAGGTGCCCACCGAGCGGGCGGCCGTGCCAGGGGGAGCCCGAGGCAGGTCCCCCCTCCCCCACCCCCGGGGTGCAGGCCCGGCCCCCGCCCACACCGACCCCCCCGGGCGCCCGGAGCTCCCCTCGGCGCAGGTGCCGCGCGGAGGAGCCGGTGGCCTGGCGACCCCGCGGGCGGCCCGGGCTGGGCGGGACGGCGTCTCCTCGGCCCCCTCAGGCCCCTCGGGGCTCCGGCCTGAGCCCCTTCCCTGGCCTCCCCGGAGCCCCCTCCCAGGCCACAGGCCAAATGGAAACAGTGAAGCTTTTAGAGAAAGCAAAATTGAAGTGCTCTTAAATCTGGAAGATTACCCCCCAGAATGTTACACCCAGTGGTATGCTTGTAAACCAGATCTCAAATAAAAGCCCTGATTTGCAGTGTTTTCCAGTTTCCATGGTGGAAATGTTCCTACCAGGGCCAATATCAAGCCATCAACGGTTGAACAACCAGTTCACAGAATTCTTGAATTCTGGATTTAACAATCAACTCTTACAGGCTGGTAAGAGCTGGCTCCAGCATATCCAAGGAAGCAAAATCTTATTTATTACATAAGCCTTTGTTAGAACAGTACAAAGGGCTTTATGGAAATTTGACTCTTCATCCTTCACTGGTGCAGTGTGGCAGCTCCACTAATGGAGACTGAATGGCCTGCCTCTCAGAAACTCAGGAACTCAACATTCAGTGGAAGGGAGATTCTTTAAATCTTTTCCATTTTCTTTGCATTTCTATTTTTTCCTCCTCAAAGTCACTTATTCAGAGAACATGGGGGTAGATATCTTAGAGCGAGTTATTTTGACACAGGAGAACATTAACTTCTCTGGAATTCAAAGGCTTGCTTGGCTTTGTCATAGATACTTGAGAAAACTCCTCTGGTAGCCTCTGTTTCACTGTAAACCACAATGCTGATTATCTTCACCATCTGTTATTCTCTTACATACTTTCAAGAAACTTTTTCTTGTCTAGCTCTGCAGCTTGAATAAGTTATACTTTCAAACATGGTTAGTGTTTGGCTCAATAGTGATGCTCCTGAGCTTTTGATATTATTTCTTCATTGATTTTTCATATTTGGACTTTGGGGATTTCTTGGAGCTCAGCTGCCTAAAAGACCAAGATTGGATGGATTAAAATCGAGGTTGGAATGGGAAAGCATTTTCTTTGAAAAGAATAGTTTTGATGGAAACATTTGTTGACAGTCTTCACCTATCAGTATTAATATTTCTATGCCAATATCTAGGAAACATGTGAATCTGATAGAATTTCCTGATTTTATTTTATTTTTTTTAAAAAAGATTTTATTGATTTGAGAGAGAGCGCAGGCAAGTGTGCACTAAGGGAAGAGTAGAGGGAGAGAGACAAGCAGACTCCATGCTGAGTGTGGAGCCCAATGCGGGACTCAGTCCCAGGACCCTGAGATCATAACCTGAGCAGAAATCAAGTTGGTTGCTTATCCCAGCTGAGCCACCCAGGTGCCCCTAAGGAGAAAGATCATTTTCCCTGAAGGCAGTAAGAGAGGCTAACTACTACATGTGATAGCTGCTTTCATGTTTTTTATTTATTATTAATTTGATTTTTAACTTGAGTGTTGTATTTTATGGTAAGGTCAAATATGTTCCTTCTTAATTACCCCCATTTGAGCCCTGTGGTAGATTCCAAGGGGTTGTTTTCAAAAGACTACCTTTAAAATGCCAGGATGCCCTTGCTTAGAGACATGCGTTGGTAAACTTCAAAGAGTAGGGGCAAAAGCAAAATCACTAGTTATGTTTGTCTTTCTGGGAGGCACTGTTTCTAATCGGTCACTTGGTGAGGCTTTCTAAAATTTTGTATCAAGCTGTGATTTAATAGAGTTGGAAAAGATAATAAGCTAGAGCCACGGAAAGCTATTTATGTTGGCTGAATCTATGAAATAAGAACATTAGCGTTTAGTGTTTATGGAGAGAAAGAACACCTGTGTTACACCAGGTGATCACCAAAAGGAAGTAAGAAAAATGGGGGGGAAAACCCTACCTTCCAACAACTCTAATTGGTTAGCACAAATTACTGAACTGGTGGACTCTTGCCACAAATATTAATATTAGCTCCATTATGCCTCTACAGCTTTTAGGCTGAATGAATAAATTCAGAAAGTGACACTTAGCCAAAGGTGTATCACACCATTGAAACTTGTGGAACAGGAAAACAAGATATGGGAATTATGTATGTGGACTATGCAACTTGAAAGACTGCCATTAGCTGTGTGACTTCAGGCAAATTAGTTAACTTCTTTCTTTGCCTTGGATTCCTTGTCTGTACTTGGAGAATATAAGTTGATGTAATGGTCCCGATGAAATAATGAATGAAAAGTTATGATTCGTGTGTAAATAAATGATATGTCCTTAGCAGGGAAGGGGAATATAAGAGGTCAAATAAGAGAACTGTCATTTTAGAAGAAAAACTCGCTTGACATTTTTTTAAGTTGGGCACAAATCAGTGATTACCTAATATCTGATTTCATCAGTAAAATATTGGCTTGAAGATAAATCCACCCCAAACAAGCAACTTTTCTTGGTGGCAAAAGGGTAACTGCTCTAATTTTAAAAGGTGGTGATGGGTAGAAATTACTTCTTCATATCTAGCAAAAGATCCTTAAATCCACTTCAGGGGGAAGGCCTAACACTAGAAAACGCTATGTGTGGGGGCACCTGGGTGGCTTAGTTGGTTGAGTGTCCAACTCGGTTTCAGCTCAGGTCATGATCTTAGGGTCATGGGATTGAGCCCCACATCAGGCTCCCTGCTCAGCAGAGTCTGCTCATGATTTTTTTTTCTCTGTCTCTCTCCCCTCGTCCTCCTCCCTGTGCTCTCTCTCCCACTCTCTAAAATAAAATAAATAAATCTTAAAAAAAAAAAAAAAGGAAAGAAGTACAAGTGCTGGGGGATGGTGGTTTTTTTCCCTAGCTATATACAGATATGGTTTGCTTATTTGTCTTTTTAATTTCTTTGGCCTCTTAGCTATCTACTTGGTAAAGGGATCTTAAATGATCACTTAGGGACTGGACTTTGGTTAGTGTGGTAATCTTTTGGATAATTCATAAATATTCCAATTCTCCTCTTTCCTGCCCGTGGAAGGATTGCATTTGCTTACCTCATTTGGAGTTAGGCATGTCCATACGACTTGATTTGGCAAATGAAATGTGAAAGGTAGTGTGAGACTCACCTTGCACTTCCTCTGTTCTCGTCACCAAGGAGGTGGATGCTGAAGTAGAATCTACATCAGCCAACTCTGCCAACTGGTGTGGGACATGTATTGTGAATGAGAACTGTCAGCCGGTGAGATTTTTGGGGTTGTTTATTATTGAAGTAGAGGCTGTCCTATCCTGGTTAAGCCAAAGAGTAGATGGCCAGGTATCTCCTGCAGGTGAACAGAGATTCAGAAGTAACCAGGTGACATAGTAGAACCACCTAATTAATATGATTATGAATGATTCACCTAAATCATTCTCACAGGGAATGATTTTTCAAAGATGCAGTGCACAAACAAAAGAAAAGAGAACAAAACAAAACATAACAGAAAACCCCTCAGAATCTATGTCCTGAGAGCTCTCCCATTTGCACCAGGATTTGTCCTTCCTATCAGCTACTGTCTAGCTTGGATGACTGGCCATGGGCTTTCTCTTCTATAATCTCTAATTCAGACTACTATCATTGTCAAAATGAGACTGTGGACCTCTTTACTATCACTTCCTATGTCTCTCTACCTTGCCACCTTCCTCTCTACATCCCTACTTTCTTCCCTTCCTTCTTTCCTGGAAAAAAAAAAAAAGACTGAGTGCCTGTTATGTGCCAGGCACTGTACACATTTCTGGAAGTGCAAAGCCAAAGAACTATGATTTGACCTCAGAGGAGCTTCCATTTAGTTAATGGCACAGTCTGATCTCTCTCAACAAATAATGCTAATACAAAATGCTAAGTGTTGTACTTGAGATAATTACAGAATGACATATAGGCTTAGAAATAACACAGAATGACTATGATCTTATACATCTAGGCCTTGAAATTTAAATCAGTCCAAATAACACATAAACATCTTAGTAGATCTACAGTTAGTAGTAGTCTTTTGAACTTTACTACATCATAAGTTTGGGAATGTCTTGAGTAGGCAGAGACCATTATTTCAAACAGAAAAAAGAATGATTAAACACACAGAGTATTTGAGGAATGTATGAGAAATGCCTATCTCATTCTGTTAGGCCAGGATGTAGATGCTTCCAACTTACATGATCTTCTCACTATTAGAACAACCACATCTGGAAATGACAATAAGTGGAAATAATCAAATAACAAAGAAGATACATAAACATTGGCAAATAATTTGGGCTGTAGCCAGACTCAGAAGATGTTGGAAAATACTTTACAGAAGCTTATACATTTAAAAGCTATTAACTGTGACTGATTAAAGGAATTTGCTACTTTAATTTTAATTAAGTTTCATCAATCTAAGGTAGAATTATAATAAATGTGAAGAAAAAGTATGGAATATGCTTTTCTGTTGTTTTTTTATTCAGCAAAGCATACATTTTTAAGACAAAATCATTCAGGAAAAACAAAACAAAACAAAGACAAAAACCTCTGTTGATGTCACAACGCAAACCAAACATAGCAGAGTTTCCCTGCTGATAACAAATCCTGACTTTTTATTTTGGCATGGAGACGTTACAGAAACTCACAGACTTAAAATATATATACAATCAAAGATTCCAAGTGCTTATTTCAGAAATATCATTGGAATAAGGAGTTATAAAACCGTGAATGGCTTCTATAATGCAATTTACTAAATCAGTCTTGGTTCTCACAAACTAGAGTACTCTCATCCTTTGACAGTTGAAAATATATATAATCTATACTTTTACAGTCAGCGACCCACAGTTAATTTTCTTCATTGGTAAGATTGGCAAAGTTTTCACTGTCTTCAGCTGGCACGCTCTGCCCCCGTTGGCTTGGAATAGCAGGAAGCACTCGGTTTGTCCGCAGAGGTCCTCCAGATAGAACTGGGGAGAAAGAACAGAATGAAAGCCTTTCAAGGTTTGCTTCTCTCAGAGTCTCAGGAGGAATGGTGTTGTGAGAATGATGTTATCTCTAAAGGAGTGGAGGCATTTCTACGGAGCTTGTCTTGGTGAGAGCTCAGCTGCAGGAAAAAGTTGTGTCTGTATCTACTCAGGCTTATCACATGTCATCAGGATGTCAAATACGCACAAATACAAGACGGGGCCAAGTTTGATCAAAACATGATTGGACTATGCTTGCTGGCACAGCTCTCTTTTCCTGGGGTGGAGTAGCTGTTGATGGCCAAGTCAGCACAGTGCTCTAAATGAGCCCCAAGACATCTGTACTGCCCTTTTATGCAATCCTCAAAAGGCTCTTGAGTTTCTTTTAGGAAAAGCCCTGTGTACCTTCGCATTTCTTTTTCATAGAGCTAAAGTTGATCAAAGATCTTTATCTTCCCTTCTCTCCTTAAATTTAATTGTGAAGAGCAAAGCTCCTGGGCTCTGCCTATGAAAATCCCCTCTCTGGCTTCTCCAAACCCCACCAGGATTCAAGGCTGAGCAACTACTTAATTAGATAACTTTGTGAGTCATTTCTGCTTAAAGACGGGGTTGAGCTTGAATTTCATCCAGTGATTGAATTCACACCATCCCAAACTGTCACTTTATACAAATCAGTAAAAGCAAAGGAATGGATCTGTTAAGGAAGAGGTTTTGTTTTTTGCTACTAATTCCTTGTGTGAGTTTGGAAATAAATCTCCATCTCTCCCTTTCCTTATTTGCAAAATGACAGGGTTATACTAAGACCCTGTGATTCACTGTTTTTACCTAAGAAATCCTAGAACTCTTGATTGGTCCCTTCCACACTACAGCCTGGGGCTGAAAAGACATACTGGGTATTTATTCTGTGCAAACAGTTGCCAGTGTTTTCCATATATTACCTATATTGGATGTATAAATATATTTCCACATATTACCATGTAATCCTTCAAACAACCTTTTTAGGCTGGCACTTTTCTTATAGGCTAAGGGAGGAAACTGAAGGTTAAGAAACTTGTCTGAAACCAGGCAGCTCCTAAATCATTCAACCTCTGCAATTAAGAGGGTATGGAGAGAGAGAGAGAGAGAGAGAGAGAGAGAGAGAGAATGAGAGAGTATGTGCATGCTTGCATACATGTTATAAATGACAGGGCTGGGATAGAAAGAGAAGGAAGGAAGGAAATTAGAATCCAGTAAGAATTGCTTGTTTCCATGAGGCAGCTGACTCAGTGTCTTATAGTTTTGCTCCTGGCTCTGCTACTTACTACCCAAGTAATGCTGGGCAAATCATGCAACCTCTGTGAGATTAGTTTTCTCATCTGTACAATGGGAATAATAATAGAATCTGCCTCCTAGCACAGATATGAGGATATGCAAACTTGGAATTTCTGGGTGTGGAGCCCAGAAATCTACTTTATAACAATCACCCCAGGTAATACTTGAAGTACACTCAAACTTAAAGATCACTGACTAATAGAATATGTTTAATATTTTATGTTGTGAGAAATTTTTGTACAAAATATTATTTAATAAATCAATAATGTCAAAAGTAACATGGGTGAACAGCATCTACATGATTATTCCTTTCTGTTTAGGGATGCATAGCCTCTGAGTAGAGGGATGACACATATTTGTACCTGTTCATCATAGTCAGGAAACCAATGTCAAAAGACCAATCTTAAGAGAAAAAAAAATTTTTTTTTTGAGAAAAATTTTTAAAGCACTTTCTTACACACATTAAATAGAGCATAACAAAATAAACATTGGTTATTGTTTTTATAATCCAAACACAAAAATTCCTCAAGGGAGGGAGTATTTTTTTTTTTACCCTAAACAAGCATTACCAAGTTGGACAAAACTTTAAAGACTGTCTCTATTCTATTTTCCTGTAATTTACAAGTTTTGGCGCCTGATGTTCCCTTGAAAAATGAAAGTAAACTGAAATAACAGTTGTGTCTAGACATGTTAACACTTGCAAAGGAAGCTGAAGAAGATTCATAATACTTACATTTTTGGTCTGGTAGGGGAGCTAGGTTGTTCCGGGTGAAAGGAAGATCCCTGATCTGGGGTCTATTTGGGGAGACATGCTGAAAATTTTGTCCTAGGGACAAACAAAATTGTGTCAATTATCTGAGCATAACCAAGTGCAGATTATAAAATCCAGTGGATAAGAGAATCATAAAGTTGTTAGAGATTGCTCAGTTTAAGATGCTAACAACAACAAAAATCATAATAGCTACACTTCGTTGAGTTTCTATTATATACCAGTCACTGTTTTAATGAAATAAAAAGACATCGGAAGTCATTTCTTGAATAAATGAGTTGAAATAAAATTTTATAAACAAGCACAGTTGGCCACTCACTCTATAAAACTTAAAAGTTTGAGGGATGCCTGGGTGGCTCAGGGGTTGAGCATCTGCCTTCGGCTCAGGGCATGATCCCGGAGTTCGGAATCGAGTCCCACATCGGGCTCCCTGCAAGGAGCCTGCTTCTCCCTCTGCCTGTGTCTCTATCTTCTGTGTCTCTCATGAATAAATAAAATCTTTAAAAAAACTAACTTAAAAGTTTGAAAAAGTAAAATAGGGTATACAATACAATATATCAGTCAAATCTGTGGTGAATGACACATAAGTAGGATATATTCTTCTCGATCAGTGTTTTTCAATGCTGGTTGCACATAGGAATTGAATTATCTCAGGAGTTAAAAAAAAAACACTGTAGCCCAGTCAAACCCCAGATCAATTAAAAGAGAATCTCTGGGACTGGAATAGGGCATCAGATTTTTATCACTTCCCAAGGTATTCTAATGTGCTGTAGGATTGAGTATCATTGACCTAGAAGATGGGATCTGGGAGAAGTCACCTGGCATGTAGCTATTCTCTAATTTAGGCTATAAGCAGTGCTATGCTAGAGCCCTGTGTACTGGCTCTTGGGAACTGATGGTTAAAATTTCAGGAATTTAGTGAGCTGTTGACATCACAGTGGTGGCTTGGCGTCGGTCATAGAAGTATTTACACCATGGAAATCAGCAAGCACTGAGTCAGCTGTTAAATATTTATCAATATACCACCGATTACAAGAGATAGACCTAAATGTCTGAAAATAGAAAGGAATACCCAAGTTATTTAGGTCCTTTTAAATAGTTGACCATTTGGTCAACTCCTGGGACAGGAGTAGACTTGTCTGCCGGCTTGGGTAAGAGATGCTCCCTCTCTAAACCTCAATTTCCTGAAATACAAAGTGGTGAAAGTAATTGTATCTGTCCTTTTCACTTGTCATAAAGATTAAATAAGAGAACAAATGTAAAGCATTTAGCTTACAAGGTTAACACCTAATAAACATTAGTTATTATGACAGTTTTATTCTGTGGAGTGTTTAACACAATCTCCTGGAGAGTGGGGAAAGTATTCATTTGATCTTTTGCCTCATAATTTTGTAAGAATCAGAACAACTATAGGAACTGCGGATAGGCTTAATTCTTCTGCTTGGGCCAGACAGTCCTTAGAATAACGGAGAAAAAAAGATTAGCCAAGATCCACTGTCTATCTGCATAGGGGCATTATAAGGGCAGCCCTCTGAGCACTGCCATTTGATGAAAATTGAGCAAAATTTACAGTCTCTCTGGTGGATATTATGTTTTTATTCCTTTGTATTATAAAGGTCAAATAATCTCATAAGCTACTATTTAAAAAGAAAACATCCCTGAGTAGAATAATAGTAAGTAATTACAGTAAGTACCCATATCAACTCATATCTTATTTATCCATGAATATTTGAGCAGAAATTTGCAAAACCAAGAAATGAGATAATGATAATTATGGCTAAAGTTAACTGAGAACTTACTATTGTAGGGACTGGGCTGGATGCTATGGGCATAATTTCATTTAATCTTAACAATCACTTTTCCTTGTGACATAGACGCCATTATCATCCACATTATACAAATGAAGACACTGGCTTGGAAGAGTTCTCAAATGTGCTCAAGGTTACATAATGGAAAGTGACAGAGCTTGGGCTCCAACTTTGGCCTGTCTGACATAAAACTCATCCTGCCTCCGTAGCAGTCAAAGCAATTTTGACAAGATGAGAGATGGGCAGAAAGGGGGTGGGCGGTGATTTGGGACATGGGAGGAGAGCCCAACTTCATTCTGCACTGGCATTGGGCTCAGTTTTGAAGGACAAGGTGGATCTGAGCGCAGCCCAAAGCTCTGTTATGTGTGCTGCAGGCATCTCAGGGAGCGTCAGCCAATCAGGATAGGATAAAGGACCACTGTCCTAGATTCAAAGGTGGAAGGGTTTTCACAGTTGAACAATGGAATTCAGTCAAGCAATTAAATAAATTCAGCATTCATCTATTGTGTATCGCCGTATTCCTGAGCCTAGAGTGCAAAGAGGACAAGGCAAGGTGCTCAGGAAGGATAACAGTGTATGTTGGAGGAAATACAGGTTAACTTCTACTTTTGAAGCCTAAGAGCAGTGATGTGAGGGTATCACATAGGAAAGGGATGTGGAGAGGTGTGTCTTGAATCCCACAGCACTCACTTGAACTTCTGCTTCATCACTTCCTGCCTAGCTCTGTGACCTTAAGCAGGTGGTATAATCTCTCTATGCCTCAATTTCCTCATTTCCAGAATAGGGATTAAAAACTCCTCTCCAGGGATCCCCGGGTGGCACAGCGGTTTGGTGCCTGCCTTTGGCCCAGGGCGCGATCCTGGAGACCCGGGATCGAATCCCACGTCGGGCTCCTGGTGCATGGAGCCTGCTTCTCCCTGCCTATGTCTCTGCCTCTCTCTCTCTCTCTGTGTGACTATCATTAAAAAAAAAAAAAAAAACAAAAAACTCCTCTCCAGCAGTGCTGGCAAAGGGGAAGTACACACTTTGCTATCTGCCTCACAGGAGGCTCAGCAAGGTGGAGCCATTCTATGGTTCACAGTAAGAAAGAGCCTCAGCTCCTAGAGAAGTCAGGGGGACTTCCAGACAAGGTGGCCTTTGAGCTGGTTCTTAAAAAATTGTACAAATCTGCCAAGCACACAGTGGACAGAAGGTAAAAATAACATGGGCACTGACGCCATAGAGCGAAAGGTATGAGGTGTTGGGGCCCTGAGACATATTCAAGGAAGTGTTCAAGGGGATGGGGGAAAGGATTGGAGATGTAAGGCCCAGATGCTGAGAATGGAGCCCACCCATGCTGGGAGCATTTTGAGGCCCAGCCATGTGGGAGCATTTTGTTTATCAGCTCAGGAGTCTGGTCTTTGTCCTGGAAAAGATGTAGCACCTCTGATGAGTTTAATCAGAGGGGTCACAGGATCAGACCTACACAGGAAGGAGAGCACATTGCTGCTGGGATAGTCTAGTAAATTGGGGAGAAGGGAGTTCTCTCTTGAGGAAGAGGGGAAGCGAGCCCTTTCATACTTTTGTGATGGCTTGAAAATAACCAGGCTGGTTGCAAACACCACAGAGCTTTCTGTTCCATTTTCTCTGAAAGCTGCTCGCAATGAATTAAGCTGATGTGCTCCAAATTTCCTCATTAGGTTAAGTGCCTCATCCCGCATCTCTCTCCATCTAGCCCACTGACAGGTCTCAATGAATGTTAAGCAATAATCATTACGGCTAAATGTTCGGGGTTGCTGATGTAAGCACAGGATATTGGCTGCCAGGAATTCAAACAGTAGTACTGCTAGCCCTATTATTTCTACTAAACCCAGGGCAGGAAAAGAGAAAATCCACTGCTAAAGGGACTATCCAAGTTCAGACCAGCAGTGCTGTGGTATGATTTGCAGTATCTAATTGCTTTACCGTATTAGACTTCCATATCAAGCATGGGCGCTCAATCTAGAAATCTGCTAGACTAACAACTTAAACCACTTAAGTGAACCCTCCTAATTGTAGTCCAGAAGCCTCAGTAGTTCTAAAAACATTTCAAATTGGGTTAAAAATGTCCACAAAAATAAAATCTATAAGGCAGGGAAATCTTTTTGTTTTGGGAAGGACAATGTCATTTCTAAGAAAATTGCAGTGTGGGTAATTGGTAAGTATACTAACAAACTTGACTTTGAGATTTAAGGAGAGAAACACATTGCCACAGTGATACCTTGCTATTTAGGGGATGTGGGTTGGAGTGCTGAGAATGTCACTAATTAGTTGTAAGACTCTGAGTAAACCATTTTAACTATCCTAGGCCATGTGAATTATAACTGAAAAGGGCCTCATGAGACATAATGGCCCCAGCCTCTGCATGAGTAAGAAACTGGCTCAGAGAGACGACATGTCTTGCTTTATCAATCAGGGCTCATCCAAGAAAAAAAGAGACCTCTCTTGGTCTTTCAAACAGAGGGAATTCCCTACATATATTTGTGATAGAAAAGCTAAGAAGCCAAACTAAGAGAGAGTAGGACAATCCAGAGATTAGCTGTTGCAAAAAAAAAAAAAAAAAAAAAAGGCAACCACCCCTAGGCTGGAGAGATGAGAGGAAGAGATGGTGTTATGAAGGCCTACAAGCTAGTGGAAGCCAGAGCCACAGTGAGCAGCTGTGTGGAGAAGTGGGAGGAGGTAGAACCACTGTTGGGGCTTCCAGAAGAAGCAGAGGGACACAGTGTACAACTACACTGCTTTCCTTTGTTCTCCTACTCTCCCTCTTCTGCCAAGTGCCTCCTGGTACTTGGCCTAAAGTACCTGGAAGCAGCTGCAAGGGAGCCTAAGAAGTGTCATTTCCTTAGAGACAGAACGGAACTGGGGGGAAAAGACAAGATGTGAGAGCAAGCAAGCAGCTGACTAGCAACAGGTACTTAAATTTCGTCTTTAAAGCAAGGTCACTTCTAGTTTCTGTCTAAAGCATACAGCCTGGCACATGGTTCTTTAAAAAAACAAAACAAAACTTTTGTATGTGTATAACATTGTGTTCGAACCACTGTTCTAAGTACTCTGCATGTATCACCTCTTTAAATCTTAACGGCAACTCACGATCCTAAGAGTTAGATATTTCCTCTCAGTTTTTTTTTTTTTCAGGTGAAGAAACAAAAACCCAGAGAGATTAAGCAACAGCAAATAAGTGGGAGAGCCAAAATCTGAATTCTGGTGTCTTAACCGCTGGATGATTCTGTGTCTTGACAGATTCCAAACCCTCTAACCATTTAATGAATGACTGGATTGCTAAAATTCTCTCCATTTAAAGACCCTATAATCTTGTATCTAAACATGAGAAGAAAGTTGCTTTAAAGTCAGTTGCAGAATCATTCGAGCAAATCTATATCTTTAAAAAGTTCATTTATAGGCTGAAGATTCTTGGGAGATTTATCTTATCACAACTCAGTTGCCTAGGATGGCTCCTAGTTATTATCAGCGCTTAAAAACATTGGTTGGAAAAAGAAATGCTTTGATGTGCCACAGCTAATTGTTCAAGGTTTTCTTGGAGAATTTTGCTTCTTCTTTTCTGCTACCCCAGGACTGACTATTCAAATTATTTCACTGGCAAATGAAGCAAAATTTCAGATGAAGCAAGTTTATTGAGTTTCCTTTTATTGCCAGTAATATAGCAAGTTTAGATGGTTCCAGTGACAGAACGTACTAGTTCTTCATCCAATATCTACTCTCTTAGAAACAAAAATTCTTCTCTCTTAGAAACAAAAATTCAATTTTTGAGGGACAGCTATGTGCTGAGATTTAAAATACTACAATTCACAGTCTCCCTTGTAGTGAGGCATGACCATGTGACTAGAGTTCTGGCCAATGAGATGTAAGAGAGACATGGGTACTTAGTGGAGATGACATCTTAATGGGAGCTGACCCAGCTGGGGCATATCCATTTTTTTGGCCTCTCTGTGCTCCTTTCCTCCTTGTCTGTTAGCCATAATGCACTGTGAACTAAGCTGAACAATGTTATCATATGGTGAGCTGTGGAGCACACAAATGGAAGGAACCTAAGTCTTTGGTGATGCTGGAGCTACCAAGCACCTGGGAACTACCTACTTCAGACTTCTTTCATACAGCAGCACTGAATTTCAATGTTGTTTGAGTCATTGTTGCTTTGCTTTCTGTCATAGGCAGCTGAACCCAATCGTAACTGATGGAGAAGAGACAGACTAAGACTGTCTTGGGAAAAGAAAAAGAAGGAGATTTTCACAAACTTCAAAAGATTTCAGAAGAGAAGGTATTAGCCAGGACAGGACCAAATCCAAAAAGAAGACTGCTTTGAGGCCCTGGAGGCCACTGAAATGTAAAAAAAAAAAAAAAAAAAAAAAAGATTAATATCTTTCCTTCCTTTATCCTTCTGTTGAATAAAAGCAAAAACACTACCTATGCCACTGACCACACACTTTAGTGCTTTGCGGGGGAAGTAAATGTTGGGTGGAGTTATTCTCAGACACCGGGAAATAGCCTTCCTGTGCTTATCCATATTTATCCTGTGCTTAAATACACATAAATTTATACACGGGGAGCCATACTCACATGTTTCAGACACCAGGCGAACAGAAATGGGGGAAGAGAGCCAGATTCATGCTGCTTTAAACAGGAAGGAATACTCTACCTTTTCAAATACATATATTCCTCCTCCACTTCTTACCATACACATAGCTCTCTTGGTCTTTCATTCTTCTGTGTTTGACAGAAATAGGGGTTCAAGATACATCATTCCCCCCCCCTCTTAACCCTACCATAAGAAAAACAACAGAAACACATTGATCCCAAACAACTGACATGACACAGAGAGACACTGGAAAGTGTTGTGGATGGCGTTGACCTGGGGACCGTGATGTCCAACTGGCGTCAAGGGGGCTGTGGTTATTCCTAACCAGCCCATTATCAAGTAGAATTTCGGTTCAGTGCTGCCAGGCTTTTTAATTTCTCAAGAGAAGCTGAATCTTCCATTTTTATGTAAAACTTCATGATTTTTAAATATTAGCAATTAACTCGCTTGAAGACAAAACAAGATACTATGGTAATGAACTGATTCTGGAAGCTGTTTTATAACCTCTGCTTTAGAACAATAGTTCCCATTTTCTGGGGTGCATCAGAACTACCTGTGGGACATTTAAAAAATTAAAAAACAAGTTTTAGTGTGATACATTTATTTAAAAAGGGGGAATCAGATACATATATATTGCTTGTATGTGTATAAAAACAAATTTTTTTAGTGAGATACATTTATTTTAAATGGGGGATATTTGTTGGTGTATATATATTTCATGTGAGTATGTGTGTATATGTGTACATACATGTGTATAAAACATCACTGGAAGAATAAATAAAAAATAACATCAGTAGATTTTGATGAGCGGCGGCGCTGTGTATCTGGGAGAAGAGACAGGAGGGAGAAATGTAGTGTAAGCCTTTGGAATGTGTGGAAACTCGAACCATTAATGTGTGAATATATTTCCTTCCTACGCATATACATAGAAAGCATTGCCATTCTCCTGTCTCCCTCACTAAGATTTTGTTTCGGTACGTTTGGAGTAGGGATTGAACACCTGATTTTAAAAACAAGCCATCACATAAACAATTTGACCCTTTCTCATATTGCCACTTACCCCGGTTAAGAATCTTTGCTACTGGAAATACCAATGTTTCTGCTCTAATCTGCCAGTCACCGCACATATTTGCTAGGCAGATGAGAAGGCATATACTTTAACTTGATTGCTTTCAGGGTGGAAAAGTCGAATGTTTCCACAGGCTGGAGATCTTGAATCCACTGGATTCAAGGGAAATAATGGGCCTTAATCATCCATTTCGTTCTGGCCCTGCCCTCTGGGCTACTGCCACTCCAGTTCCTCATCCAGAACCCTATGAAACATTTCTCATACAGAGCCTGCCCAGAATGAGAGAAGGAAGCAAGGACAATACCTGATGAAGGATTGTGTAGATGAGGAAGATGGGGCAGCCCCAAGCCCTCCTGGTGCCCAGACCTGCTGGTGAGCAATCTGTCCAGCAGCTTATCAGAAGAAGACACAGTCCAAGCCTTGCAGAACACCTGGTTGGAATCACCTCTCCAGGGGTTATCTAGCAATACTTGGCAGCCAGTTCTGTTATGCAGTAAGTCCTGCTCACTTCGGCTTTTCTGAGATCGCTGGGCCATATGATGGGTACCGGAGCTCAGGCCGGCATGGGAAGTGGCCCCCTGGGAAGCCGTCAGGAAGTTATTGCCCAGGGTGATGGGTGGGAGGCTCTGCGTTCTGATTGGTGGAAGCCCCTTATGGGCCACAGGCTTCTTTTCTGGCAAGAGATATTTTGAATTGTCTGAGGTCCGCTTCTTAAAGTCAATCATAGCCACCTGGTGACCAGGCTCTTCTTGGCAGTTGGTATCCACGATGCTGTCAAAGGTGGTGATGATGTCATCGACTTCCGAGGTGCGCTCTCCTCTAGGTCGGTCCCTGCTGGGATCCTTGTGATAGGCCCCCTGCTCTTCCTTTTTGTTTTTGCAGAAGATTTGGTTGAGCATGCTGAATCGTCCCTCCTTCTTCTGGGGCCTGCTGCTATTCTGGGAAGGAAGGGGTCGAGTAGGCTCTGTCCTATGGGAATATAAAATAACAAGGATGCTATGAGAGGATAGGATATGGAGACGATCCCCAACCTCTCCCTCCCCTAAAAAAAGACTTCCTTGTGTTCTATCTGCTTGAGAAGGTTGTCTGAGGTCATCCAAAGACACCCCAAAGCTGTCTTAAGTCAAAGGATGTAGAGGAACTTCCAACACCCTTTGTGACTCCCTTCCTTGCCATGGTCAACTCTTTGTCCAGGTAGACTATTTCTTAGATCCCTCTTAGCCCCACAGGAGCTGTCCTTTCAAAATTTACCTCTAGATAATCTATTTTCACCAAGGGTTTAGTAAACTAAACTAAAATAGCTTAAAACACTGTTCTCACTTCTCAAGGACAGTCAGTAGGCCTGTAAGTTTTATTACGTCACAGAGATGAAGGCCAAGAGTGAGGTGAGGCTTCAACTAGAAGTAGGGTGGTGCTTGTAGAGGTGGGGGATGTGTGGTTTCAGGCTTTCTCTGAAAGAGATCCCAGCAGATCCCGGCAGAGCTCGGACATTATCTACGTCGGGAAGCCGGCCTATTTTTTGCTACTTGAATGTTCTTCACTTCCCTTTTAATTTTTACTAAATCTCCCATTGAAAAAAATGCTTTTAAAAAAAGTGTACTAAAGGAAACCAAGGGAAGAAGCTTCAGTCTGGGCTTCAGCTGCACAAGAGGAAGTGTGTATGCCAGAGATTGGGTGTGGCAGCGTAAGAAAAGCGAGCAGTGCCCAATGGGCAGGCAAATTCTAAAGAAATAAAGGTCAGCAGTTGTCCGGCTGGCTCCTCTTGTGTGGAGAGTTTCCCTGAGGCACCATTCTGTTTTTGTTCCTTGGAAAATTCTGTTATTCCCTTTTGAGGCCAAAATTGACTTTGCTTTCTGTGGTAACGAGTTAATGATGAAACCTGATGAAACCTGACCCATGTGCACGTCCTAAAAGCCAGATTGCAACATTCCTCTTCGGAGTGAGATATTGTCATCTGTAATTTGAAAAACATCACCACTTGACGGCCTATAATTAATGTTGTTCTTCACAGGCCACACAGTGTGTAACTAAATAAGATTCAGTGATGTATTTCCGTGATGTATTTTTATCTTCCTTCTTTCACCTTTCAATAGGCTTTCTGAACTATTGAACACAACTTCTGAATCCCTGATACTACCAGAGAGCCCCAGGGGAATCTCTAACATTCTTTCAAGTTGACCTGTATAGAATATGCCCTGGTGTGATTTAATCCTACTTGAGTACTTCTACAATCTCTCATCCTTCTGTTACACATTGTGATTTAGGCCAGTGGGTTCTCAGAGTGTGGCCCATTGAACCCTGCAGGTGGGGCCCCTAACTGTGTTCAGGGGTTCCATGAGGTTAAAACTATATTAATAACAATAATATCAAGATGTCTTTTTCACTGTGCTGCTTTTTGCTCTAAGGGTACAATAGAGATAGTGGGGTGAATGTGGGCCCCTTGGTACAAATCACGATAGCAGCATCAATGGACTTACATTTAAAAAATTGTCATCTGACTTATTAATGCCCAGTAAATGTTATTAATTTTATTAAATATTAACCTTTGGGTATACGTTTTTGACAAAACAGGAAATACTCATAAGCACTTCCACTATATAATGAGGGTTGACAGTTGTCTTCAGGCAAAACACTTGTGTAATTGTTTGAGTTGCCAGCTAACTCAGACATTTTTTTCCCCACAGAACACAATTTTTATGACTCACAGACAAACTATGGTAATTTGGTTAAAGTTAGATATTTGCAGAAATTTTCACAAAAATGAATAAAATAAACCTGTCATTTCAAGGTAAACAATTGACAGTAACTGCTGCCAATGACAAAAGTCCAGTTCTCAAGCAAAATTAAAATTTTGAAAAACCTGTATACCATAAGCTTGACTCCTTCCTGATACATAAAAGCTTTTCTGATAGGATCAGTGGTGATATTAACAAATGCAATTTTAAGAAATTGTATAATGAGATGTGTCATTTGGAAAATATTCATAACTGAATGAACCAGTATTTTCCGAATGATTATGCACGGGTATGAAACTCATTTAAAGTGCAATAGACTGGGATGCCTGGGTGGCTCAGTGGTTGAGTGTCTGCCTTTGACTCAGGGCATGATCCTGGAGTCCCAGGATCAAGTCCCACATCGGGCTCCATACATGGAGCCTGCTTCTCCCTCTGCCTATGTCTCTGCCTCCTTTCTGTGTCTCTCATGAATAAATAAATAAAATCTTAAAAGAAATAAAGTGCAATAGACCAATTGATTTTAATACAACAGGGTAAAAAAAGTTCATTGATATGCTGATAGTCCACATTGCAACTAACTTTTAGGAAATTAACACTTGTCAAGTTTTGGTGTAATATCAAAGGAAATGTGTTCATAATAATCTGAAAATGTTACTGAAATATTCCCTTCTCCAACTACATGTTTATGCAAAGCCAGATTTTTTTCAAACACTTCCATCAAAATAATGTATTGCAACAGACTGAATGCAAGAGCAGATGTGAGAATTCAGCTGTATTTATTGTAGTAGGTTCCTATGAAGATATCAAAGAGATTTGCAAAAACAATGTAGAGCTATGCTGTTCTTCTCATTACAACTTTTTTTGGTTTCAGAGAATAGGTTATTCTTAACTAAAACTATGGTACTTGTGTCAACATGTAAATGTCATGGGTTATTGTTGCTTTAAAGGAATAACTAAATAAATATTTTATTAAAATTTTGTTTTAACTTCTAATGCCATAAATATTGATAGGGGTAGCTCACATACACAGAAGCACTTTGGGTTTCGTGAGTTCTGAAAGTGTAAAACAGCACTGAGCATAAAAAGTTTGAGAATTATTGATTATGGAAAAAAGGAAAAAAGATTAAGAGAACATGGCATAAAGGGAAGAAGAAAAGAAGAAGAAAACAGAAAGCAGAAATGAAAGTCCAGTGGATGTTAGGCTGATGGATTTGGGCTCACTACTACCATTTTGCTCCACGAGGTAGAGAGAACATGTCCCGTTAGATACACTAGACAATGGCAAACACAATATTAAGTTAGTGCTGGCTTTGTGTATCAGTAAGTTAAAGAATGTCAACTGATTTTATAAATTCCCTGAGAGGAAGAAAACAATGAGTGCCTCCTGGTGCGCTCACCTGCTCTCTTGGGAGAGGAGTCTGACGCAGGCCGCGTGGCCGCAGTACAGGGCGTAGGCCAGGGGTGTGCTCTCCTTGGTGTCTCGCAGGTTGCTGTCTATGCCCAGCTCCAGCAGTGACTGCACACAGTCCGCCTTCCCTGCAGCTGCAGCCCAGTGCAGAGGGGTCCTGGGGCACCACAGGGGAACAACACAAGGGTCAGAGCACAGAAATGGCCCAGGTTGCTTAGCCAGTGACAGCTCCCTCTCAAAGTCTGGGCCTGGCCTGCAAAACACGTTGCTATTTACACTGTGAAGGTGGTAAGTATTAGACGGGGCTTTGGGGTGATGGTGGAGCCTCATTGGAGCCTGTCCTCTAAGCTCTAAGCATTCCTTGACCTTTTGCCTTCTCTGGACTTCCTGAGAATGTCCTAGAAGAGGAAGTAGTGGGGCAAAGGCTATGGATAATTTTAAGGCTCTTTATTCTTAGTGCCAAACTGTCTTCTAAGAACACTGACTCAATTTATCCACCTACCAGCTGTGTCCCTATTCCTTCCCTCAAATGAGTGTTATTATCACCTTTAAAAATCTCTGCCAATCTGGTAGGCAAAATGATACTCCAGTGTTGTTTTCTTTTGCATTTCTTTAATAGCAAGACTGAACTTTTGAAATATATTTTTGCCATTGGAGTCTCCTCACTGAAATGACTCTTAATGCCGTCTGGCTATTTTTCTTTTAGATTGTTAGTGTTTCTTACTAATTTATATAGGCTCTTTAGAAATTAAAGGTATCGATCTTTTTGCAAATATTTTCTCTAATTTGTTACTTGACTTTTAATGTTTTAGTGATTTTCCATAAAAGTTTTTAAAAAATTACCACATTTAATTATCTCTTCACTTTTCTTTCATAATTTTATGCGTAGAAAGTCCTTCATCAGCCAGAAGGTAGATACATATTCATCAGTACCTAACCCTTTATTAAATTGTAAAACCAGGATTTTCTCAGGGAAAGAAAGCAAGAGACTGGGAGAAAATACTGTAATTTGTAAATTGTCCTGAGAAAGGCTTGATCCTGAGGCAGGAAAGGAGGGCACGGAAAGCTCCTTCTTGGCTTTATGCTGGGGCCTCAACCTTGGGCAGAAAGAAGGGCAGCCAAGTAGTCTCTCAGGAGGCAGCTAAGGGGCTGCACAGATGAGGGCTCAGTTGGGGTTATCTGCCTTAATATTTGCAGAGTAGCCTTGTCCCCATTGTGGCCAGCACCCCGATGTATGGATTGTGTCTCTGGTCAATCAAGCATTCTTCTCCTCAGGTTACACTATGGGCAGCAATTTGAGAACACTTACTAGGACCATATCTTTTTTTTTCAATATAGTGATCAATCACGGTGCTTATTTGAATATGTGTCAGATGTGATTCATTCCACTCTCCTTGAGAGAGGTCTCCAGACAATATTTATTATGAAACAGGATGAAGCACCAGTCAGATTATGCCATCCTGTTGAGAGGATATATTGCCAATAAATTCAGTAGATGAAGGGCTGGACATCAATTTCGTCAGGTTTACTAACACATGACAACCCACTTTGGAGCAGTGTGAAATATTTCTTTACAACAATTGTGAAGACTGTTTTAATTCTTCTGACTACCAATGTGGAAAAAAGAGGTCTAGAAGAACAGGAGGGAAACTTAAATTGTTTTGCAGAGAAACAAGGGGAATATATGAGTAATTCCTAACTAGTATACATAGAGCCTTTGTGGACAATCTGTAGTATCCAATCTCAAGTTATCTTGGCTATAATTCCTTTCTTTATCTTTAAAAATAAAGAAACAGCAAACACAGCAGATTGGTTTCAGCTATCACAGTGCAGGGTTCAGGGGCAGGAGTTTATGATTCAAAGAAATTCATTAGAGATAGCTGAGGAGGTAGTCTCTGAATGGCAGAAAATGATGAGTATAAGCATGCGGTTGAGGTATCCATAGCTAAGAAATGATTTAGGGGACATGTAAACATTCCCTAGAGAATTCCCAGAACTATGTAGGGAGGAGAACTTGATAAAAGACTGTATTTCCTGAAGATGAATGGGTTGGATATTAAAGTCAAGTCTGACTTCACGAGCTGATGAAACTTGGGATATTTACACTACTTCTGGGTTTCGTGTGCTGTGCCATTGATCTTAGGCTAATTTACACCATGTTTTGAACATCATAGATCTACAAAGTACTTTAATACCTAGGAGGACTAGGGCCCCCACATTTTCCCTCTACTCCTCTCTCTCTCTCTTTTTTACCATTGCCTTATTTTTCTTCCCTTTGCTTTAAGTGCTTTCTCTCCACTAAGAAAGAAAAGATAGGAAATCAGTTACTACAAATTCTCAAAGCACTTACACCTATGAAAATTTTGAAGAATTCTACTACTAAGACAAGCTCACAGTTTCAGTGTAAAGGCACAGGTGCATGAAGCAGGAAACGTGAAACAAAACGGAGGACAGAATTTGTCAGTGCAGGCAACTGGTGAGCTGAGCTTTGGAGTAGGAACTAGATTCTTCTTGATTTACTTCACTTTGAACTCTCCTAGGACCTTATCTTCTGTATTTTTTTTTCTTTTTTTTTTGCTCCCCTTGATCTTACTTCCTTCCCTGAGACTTGTGGAACGGGATTTTCTTTGCTAAGTGTGTGATCATGCAGAATGGGAAACAGCCCATTCAGAGTTGGTTCTAAAAGTATTTTGAATTAGGCAAACTTTTCACCCGGCCTCCTTTTATAAAATGTGTTGCTTTTTTTTTTCTTCCTCTTTTTGGATCATTCACCTTTTCTCTTCATGCAACTTTAGTCTTGCTACTGTCTTACCTGCTAAGGATCAACATCTGCTGTTAGGAAGAGGTCTACTTTCAAGGATCTATACTTTAATTTTTTTTTTTTATTTATTTACGATGGTCATACAGAGAGAGAGAGGCAGAGACACAGGCAGAGGGAGAAGCAGGCTCCATGCACCGGGAGCCTGATGTGGGATTCGATCCTGGGTCTCCAGGATCGTGCCCTGGGCCAAAGGCAGGTGCCAAACCGCTGCGCCACCCAGGGATCCCCTATACTTTAATTTTAATTACAGTCATCAGGTTAACCATCTCCAGCTCCTGAGGCTAATGAGCAACACAAGATTCTCCCCCTGTGTTATTAGGATTTCAGGTATCAGGGAGTAGGAGGTGCTTCTTGGAGTTTATCTAAAGTTAGGAATTGGCTTTCCTAATGGCTTCCACCATTAGGTGGCTAATTTTGCACCTCAACAGAAGAGAGTTTTTAAAAAAAAAAAACATACGTAGTGTGTAAGCCTTTTACTTATTTTCAATAGTCTTGTTTGTTGTTATATTATTCTTGTATTTCCATTGAATCAATGCCTAACCTAAACTAAGATTAGATATACAGTATAATTGAAAACCTCCAATAGTTGATTATGGGTGAAAAGCAATTTAGATGAAAAGTTCTATGTTTGGAAGACAAGGGTACAAGTCTTCCTCTAATTGCTAACTACCTCTGAGATAACTCTCTTCCCCTTTCTGAATCCACCCTCCTTTTCTATGCTGATATATTTTTAATGATTGGGTAAAAAACCTTGATAAAGTCATATCTAGTTCTGAATACAAAACCTCTATTATACTCTTGTCTGGATAACAAGAAATTGTTGACTTTATGATATAATCCAGGAATGAAGAAAAAAATAAGACTTACTGTTAAGAATAAAAAGTGCGTATAGCAGGAAGTTGACATACAGAAAGCCTTCTGAGAATGTTTAGCAAAAAGTGGAAAATCTGACAATACTGTACAGTCACAGCGTGTCTCTCCATAACAATGATTTTTCCTGCCCTGACTAAAATAGAGTAGTTTTTATTGTCACAAGTACATGTGTAAACATTACTAGCAGTAAGGATATAGTCATATAGGATAACCCCTTAACCATGTTCTTTATCTTAAGACTAACTTTCGGAGAAGAGGTCTGGTAGTCCCCAAAGCTTTTAGAGTCGCCATGAGTACCTGTCATCCACATCCAGAGCCTGCAGGTTACATTCAGGCACTCTTGCTAACTCATTAATAATGTCACTGAAGCCCGCTGCTGCGGCGATGTGCACGCACGTCTTCCCACTCTCGTCATCATAGTTGATTATGGACGGACCCTGGTGGTGGCTCAGGATGATCGAACACAGAATTCTATTTCCACTCTGGAGAAGAGGGGTCAAAGGAAGCTCATTATGTACAGCCCAGGACTCCTCCCTGTCTATGCAGGTTGAGATAAAATACAAGGGGGAAAAAATCCAAAAAAGAAAAAGGAAGTAACCACATTTTATCAAACCCTCTGACAAATTCCCATTTGTCTCTTGTCACTGCAGGGATCTTTGTTTCCCAGAAGAGCTAAATTGTCTTCTATGATTAACCAGCTAAGGAGGACTTAAGTTAAATACAGGTATAGTTGATCAACATTGGAGCTGGCACACGCAGAGGTTACCTACACAGTAGCTTGCTGATCACATCTCTGTACTTTCCTTCCCTGACTGCTCCAGAGGCTGACCACTGAGAAGCTGAAGACTGAATTTTAATGTTAACAAAATGACCATGACAAGTACTCAGTGGTGGCATAATGATGAACAAGATGACCTGGTAATGGTCAGATGCCTATAAATTACATGAAATGTAATCTTCAAAAATCTTTGGTTACAGGAGATGGATCATAATTTAGTAGCTAATCAATTAAAAAAATCAACAAATATGTGAAAGAAAGAACTTCAGACAACCACGTAAACTGGGTCTCTCTGTGTAGATCTGTAACAAACTTTTCATCTTATCTTTGAAGGGAGGCTTTTCTATCTACACTCTGTTCCAGCCTTAAAAGCCACCAATTCTTCCCTGAATGTCCTGTATCTCTTCAACTTGCCCAAATAGGTGAGCAAAATCTGTATTACTGGTGTGGAATATCTTTTATTGACCTGAAGAAAAACCCAACAACCCCCCAAAACCATTGCATGAACATTTGCAATGTACGATGGCAATAAATCTTTAGGAGTAAAAGAAATTCTCATTTTATAACACACAACAGGTAGTCTTATCTTTCAGATTCTCCTGATATCTCTGGGAAGATCATAAAACAATCCAAATAATCCACTAACATTTTAATTTTCTCAGTGAATCCACAGAGAGACCCTGTAACTCTATGCACTAGGACTCATGGGTGGAATGGAGGTCCCTCAGAGCAAGTTAAGGAAATAGGAGAAGCAGGTTGTTGTTCTGGAAGCCGAGCATTGGGCCATGTGCTAGGGTCAGAGACCTGGGCAAGATAGTTGGATTTTTACAAAGCTGCAATTCTGACATGCTTCAAATGCTGTTCAACAGCTACCTCCTGATACATTTTTCCATGTAAAATTTCCTGTTGGTCTTCTTCCCACTGTGTTACCCTGTTTATGTGACCCCAGGGTTGTGTTCTAGGACTTGAGTCAGTTTTACACAATTCCATGGAACAGCACTCATGTATTTCACCTTTCTTCTTCCTTTCCCTCCCTTGCCTCTGTTTGTACCCTTGGCTCTCTGGCTCTCCGGATTTCCCATTACTCAGCTTGCTGCTGGCTTCACAATGAGCCATTGCACAGTGAACCCTGGGGTGTGCTTCCAGGGCATGAGGGGACAGCAGCTGACACCAGTTCTGAAACCTCTTGCAGGACCAAGGGCCAGGAGCCCTCACAGCTCTCAACTTTGAGGTGTAGGAAGACTGCCGAGTGGGTGTTAAACATTACAACCAGGGCCAGATATAAAATGTCTGAGGCTCAGGACAAAATGAAAATGTGAGGCCCTCTATTTTTTTTTTTACATTCTATTTATTCATGAGAGACACACAGAGAGAGGCAGAGACACAGGCAAAGGGAGAAGCAGGCTCCCTGTGGGGAGCCTGATGTGGAACTCGATCCCAGGACCCTGGGATCATGACCTAAGCCAAAGGCAGAAATACTCACCCACTTGGCCACCCAGGTGCCTCCGGAGCCCCCTATTTACATGCCAGGAAACAAGCTTATTCCCTTCCTTGTTTTTCTTGACACATCACGGTGATTTTTATTTGTTATTTAGTGCTGTGCTCCTTTGGGCCGGAGAGTCTCACCACTAGCGAAACCCTCACGGGTCCCTGGGGCCCCTCTTGCAACCAGGCACATGCTTGATGCTGGCCCTCGCCAGGTTTGTGCTCAGATCCCTTGCCGGTGGGCCAAGAATTTTCCTAAGGAGGCAGGGAGGCAGGACTGTGTGGGCCATGGTGCCATCGTCCTATCCGACTTTACTCACGAAATAAAAATTCAAAGATAAAATTAATGAGAATTTCCAGATGGCGACCACAGAGCATTATACCCCATGTACAGGTCTCCCTTTGGGCATGGGGCTCACTGGTCCCATACCCATTAAGTGGTTCCTACCCACAAGCTTCTCCCTTCTCTTCCACTCGCAGCCCCTCTTTCCACTTCCACCCTCCATCCTTCCTTTGCCTAATGACTTTTAAATCATTTGGATCAATTGGTGAAGTTCTTTGGCATGCCTTTTACCAGAAGTCTGCTACACTGAACACATCCAAGCTTTTGTGCTTGCTCTATCAACTTTTCTAAAATTCTTTCAGCTGCTGTTACCTAAACATTTCGAAGGAGTCTAAAGTACACTTGAAACAATCAAGAGCCGTCCACCTGCATCGCCAACACACACCTCTTAAAAAGCTACCAACCATATGAGAAGGAAAACAGAAGCAAAGAGTTGTCAGTTCAATGAATTTATTCTGTTTACAATTTCCTGGAAAAGCAAAGGAATTCGGGTTGCCAAGGTGATTCAAAGGGCAAAATGCCCTGTGACGATTCTCCCTTTGAGTGGAAGAGTGAGCATTAAGGACAGATAGAAGAAACAAAACCCATCTCCTCATTCCATGTCCTCTTCCCTCTAAGCCTGACCCTCGGAGCAGCCATGTGGAAGTGGCACACAGAAACCCGGGTGGCTTCCGGGGACCTCTGCACCTGCCAGGCCCGCTCAGCAGTTTCGCCTGGGGGCTGAAGTGTCACACACTCCAGAACTCCAGCCCCTTATCCTTTTCCTCCCAAATGCCCTCTGTATTGAGTTTTCCAGGCAACTTGTCTCCATACCCAGCTCTCACTTATACAACATTGTCACTGTATGTCTTTTTCTCTGATAAGAAGATACTCCAAGGAATAATGGGGACAGCTACCTTCCCTGAGTGAACATCGTGTGCCTGGCAATGTTCCAAGCATTTTCACTTACCAGTTCATTTAATCTTGACAACAACCCTGTGAGGTAGATACTCCTATGATCCCTATATTGTACAGCAGGATATGCAGGCACACAGGGGTTAAGTCACTTGTCCAGAAGTGACAGTGCAGGACAGACAGCTGTGTGCATAGCCCTTGCACTTCACCGCTATACCATTCTGCCTCTGATAAAAGGAACTGTCTGTTTATTTGATCCTTCATTGTTCCTACTGGGGAAACAAAAGTAAAAACTCCTGTTTAGGGTGCAACACCAGTAGCAATGGTGTGTGCCTGGCCAAATGAGACCTTTTTCAGAGTGAAACTCGAGGTCTTTAAAAGCCTCTGCTCCAAGGGTTGCCATGGTGCACTCTCAGAGGAATTTGAGGGGCCCGAGAGAACACGAGTCTGTGAGCTGGGGCCTTGGTTCAGTGGTTTTCCAGTAATAGCATTTCCTTCTTGGCAAGCTGGCTGTGTCAGGCAAAGGTAGGCTCCAGGCCTGGGAGGCCAGAAAAGGTCACAGAGACCAAGAAGCACCAGGTTAGAAGGAATGGGATGGTGTCCGGAAGAGCCCTCAGGAAGAGTGGAGAGTGAGTTTCCATTTGGGAGAAATGTCTTTAAACAGAGGAAGTAACAATATTCTACAGATCTTATTCTTATGAAGCTCTGGAATTCTGCACTGGATGACTAGATGAGGATTGTCGATTTGTTTCTTTGTCTTACGCCGTATTTATTTTGTTTCTGTCCATGGATAATTCATAGAGTTGCCTTCATGTACTTTGAAAACTTCTGGGAGCTACTGAGTGCTAGTCATTGTCACTTTACACCTCATGATGGAGGATTCACAAGTAGTCTTGTGTGATATAAGCATTTATAAGACATATATATACATACATATGTATATATATAGTCATTCAGAATACTGAAGATGCTTCAGAGCCATAAAGGTGAAAATCAGCGTCTTGTAATTAAAGAAGGTGACTTTTGGACCCCATCCAAGGGTGGGACTGGTTGCCAGGAGGACCAACCATATGATTAGAAGATTGGAGCTGTCAATATACCCACCCAAAACATCCAGGGAGAGGAGAGGGGCTAGAGGTTGAACCAGCCTTCGGCCCACGACTTAATTAATCATGACAATGTAGTGAAGCCTCCATAAAAGCCCAAGAGGGCAATTTTTCATCTTTTCTCAGAGAGCTTCCAAGTTTGGGGAACCAGAAGGTTTCCATGTGCTACCAAGCCAGCCCCCAAGATCCATGAGGACAGAAGCTCCTTTCTTTGGGACCTCACCCTATGTATCCCTTTAACTGGCTGTTGATTCCTATGCTTTGTCATATCCTCTCATAAAATATTAAGTGTTAGTGTTTCCCTGAGTTCTGTGGCTGCTCTAGCAAATTAATCAAGTTAAGGAGGAGGTCATGGGAACTTCTAATCTGGAGCTGGTCAGTCAGAAGCACAGGTAACAGCCTGGAGCTTGACACTGGTGTCTGAAGTGGGGAGTGTGTGTGATGCAGCCTTATAGGAATCTGATGCTATCTCCAGAGAGTGTCGGAATTGACTTGATTTCTCAAACACCCTTTAAAGACCTTGCCACAAAGAAATGTGAATTAATGTATGATAATTTTGCTGCAGGCAGACTGCTAAAAACCAAGATTCCAGAACTCTGATGCTTTTTATTCTAGGACACCTTCCAAAGGGTCTTGGTGGGAGATTTAGGCCTAGTTGATTATTTGTTAACATATGTCTGGGAAGTTAATGCTATGGTAGCTTCTCGGAGGGAAATCCAATCTCCTTCCTTCTCTTGGAAGCAGTGGCCTACTTACCTCACTTGTCCTGTGAATGTGACTAGATAAATGGGAGATTAGAGTTTTAGGCCATAAGCCAGAGCCAGATGCATCAGGCTGGGAATGAAGCTGCAGGAAACATGGAATAGTCTATAAAGA